GTGGCCCTTGTGTTTCTCCTTGTGCTCCCGGTTCTTGATGCTGCTCTCGTCCGAGGAGCCGTGCCTGTCTGTAGCAGTTGGCACCTTGATCCGCATTTTTATCTCCTCCTGCTTGGAGGGGAGTGGCCTCTCCCCACCTCCACCTGCCACCGGGATCCTCAGCTTCAGAGCCGAGGCTTTGTCACTCTTTTCAGGGCCGGGAGGGCGCTCGGGGTTCTCTGAGCCACCGATGGGGATTTTCAGGATGATTGGAGAGGGGTTGCTGTCCTGCTGGACTTCCCTCTCCCGCTGCTGCTGGACCAGGAGATTCTGCGCAGCGTAGGCGTACTGAGACCGCACGTTGGCCTCCATGTTCTCCAGCTGCCGCTTCTGCGCCGCCAGCTCCTCGGCGTGCTTGGCCCGGTACTCCTTGAGCGACACTTTGGCCGACGGGGCGTTCTTGCCGCTCTGCTTCTGATAGCCAGCGCCATCTTGCTGTAAAGGATGCTCGGCAGCTGATGAGCTGTCGTTAGTCCTGTGACTCTGGCCGGTCTCCGGTTTGGGTGGATGCTGGGACATCCAGTGCTCAGGCTGGGACATATCCGCACTGCTCTGGTCACTGGGCGAGTCTGCCGTGGCCGGCAGAGATGGCCCCGCTCCGGCGGTCGAGGAGGTTGACATGCTCATTAACCCAGCAATGTTCATGTCCGAACTATTGTTCCTGGAAATCATGTTGAGGATCGTCTGCTCTGACAGGCTCTCATCTTCACCGTGGTCATCAGCCTTTGACTTCCTGGCTGCTTGAGAGGCCTGGAAAAAAAGCAGCGACCGGTCATTTACTTTGGGCTGTCACTAGAGCTGGTTTGATGCAAGCAGCTCAGCTGGTACAGTGCAAGCTCTCTTTTCAAACACTTTGCCCCCATCCCTCCTTGTGGAAAAAGACCCAACCACTGGAAGCAGGGTTGCTAGTACAGTTGAAAAAAACAAAGTCTCTACAGAGTTAATTCAGAACAGACCCACTCGAGCGCTGAAGCAGTATTTTGCAGACGTGTTCAGATCTCCCCACACACACATGCCCTTCAGACACTGCCTTGCATTGTCAGGCCGGTGCTGCCACCCAGCCTCACGCACACAGAAGAAATCAGAGCCTGTGCTCTCCCACAAGCACCCCCGGTCCAAAGCAGATTCTTACCCGCCAGTTCCGAATACGTTTAAGCCGGTTGGGAGTTTTCTCAAGGATCTGCAGGAATTCATGAGTCAGTTCTGCAGAGGAGACACAAACCCAAGCAAGAGGGTCAGAGGAGGGCAGACCAGCACTAATCCATCAGGGCAACCCCCTACTTACTGATGAATGGACCTACTGATGAGATGGAGCTACTCCAGGAGGGGAAATACTGAGATCTAGTATCACTGACCACATTTAAACTGATCTCACTGTGCGCCTTTTGCCATCTCTGTTGTACCATAGAAGCTGCTGCTGCACTGGAAACCTTGGCAAGACCTGAAGTCCTGGAGTCCATGAACTGGCCGGTGGCCGCGTTTGAATGGCAGACCCAGGAACAGAGATGCCAAAATAATGTAAGAGCCTTTGGGGGGAAACCTCGCTCCAAAACTTACCATCTAAGAGCTCCAGAGTTACAGTGCCATCAACGTATTCCCACCAGTGCTTCCCGTCCGTGGAGACTGGGATCTCCCAGTTGGACCACTTACAAGCCAGGTGGATACAGACGCAGGCCACAACGGGAGGGGTGTACTGCAGGCTGAAGGTGGTCAGGTGCAGGCTGACGTCACCAGCAGGGAGAGAGAAACAAAAAGCCATGAACTCCCAAGCCTGAACTTCAGCACTCACAATCGCCCACTGAACAGACGCTGCACAAGAGGTGGACATGGTGGGGAAGTCCCTGCCATTCCTCCCCCAGTACAACCCTACTGTTACGGGCGTCTCTATCCCGCTCCACCGATTTGCTTGTTCCTTCCCTGTTCTGCTGCAGATAATTTGGGTCCAAGCAACTCTGTCAACTCAAGGCTCTGTGGCTCATGCAGCAGCAGCAAGGCACACTGCCGCCCGGCTCAAGCCCTCCTCCAAGGGAGAGGGCCAGCCCCCACCTCTGCTCAATCTGAGAAGAAACTCAGACTCTTCCAAGTGCAACTCCTGGGATGGCATTCAAGGAGAAGACTGGCCCTCTTCGGCTTTTAGGAAGGGTCTGGTCTTTCCCAAATGATTTTTAGGAAAAGCACTGAAGCTTCAGCTGTGAATAGCACCATATGCTGGAGTGACTGAGGAGCACCTAAAAGGGAGCCTGCCCGCCTATCAAGCCATTTTCATTAGTAAATTAATTTGCAACGTGACAGCTCGGACATCAGTGCCGGGAGGTCTAGGTAACACTGAAAATAGGAGAATTGATGGACTAAGAAAGCATCCTACTCTCTACTGGCAGGAACACCAGGTCCACTAAGCCTTAGAAACCATGACAGCAAGTTGAGTGCAGGATTTGCCCACTGTCACACTCCTGAATCGGCCCTTTCAAAGAGCGCTTGATGGAAACGGTGCCACTGAGCATCTACACACAGCCACAGGATGGCATTATCTGCATTTCTTCGCCATGCTTGGGGTATTAAACATCCTTCCATCAATGCAATGCGGAGAGACAGAGATATGCATCTACAGCCAAAAAGCCTGAAGCCGTTTCACGGATACTGTATTTATCCATACATCAAGAAGTCAAACCCAGGAAATTGAGAGCCTTAATCCAGTCTGCCAAGGTAAGAAGTGAAATTAAGGTGCACAAAGAGCCTTAACTCCACCCCATAATGATGCCAGAAGGAAATAAACATCTGTAGCAACATCCGATAAACCTAGTTCATCACTTAAGCACCTTCATCAGGTGTTTCATGGCATCACTTTAAGGCAAAATTGAGGCTGCCTGGCTGCATTTCTTACTTTCTGCCTGGATTTCTTTCAATTATAACCTTAACTCATAATTCCTTGGTTTTGCAATTATCGCTGCAGGGATAAAACACGTTTTAAGGATGCATTTACCCACACATTACTAACACCACCTTCCCTTTACGCTACTTTATGCGGGAAACCCACGGAGTGCCCTTTGGAGCTAGAGAGCACCTTCAACAAACACTTGTCCCAGCACACTGTGGAGGTGAGCGGGTAACACCTCTCACAGACAGAGAGGAGAGAAACGACTCACCCAAGGCCATGCACACTCACGGCTCGACCAGGGCTTGGAAGCATTCTCTGACTCTGCAGCTTTACCTGAGCTAGCACCTAAACCATCTTTTTCTCCCATCCTTTCACTTCCGCGAGCTCTTTCACAAAAACACAAGATTTTCCATGTCCATGACTTGATCTGTTCCAAACATTAACTCCATGATTTGCCTGAAGCTGGTAATCCATGAAATTAAATTTTCAAAAAACGTCGGAAGTCCCAACACAAGGGCTGGTATCAGCCTTGTGGTGAAAATCTAGTGACAAAACTAGACCTCTCCAGGTGGAAAAAAAAAAAAAAATAGGAGCTTTTTGCATTTCCAAGACTCTGCTGACACGACTGCCCAGTCATGCAGGCCAGACAAGGCTACTGTTTTCTCTTGTAATGCCTCATGCCTGCATCAAGCCACCCTTTTTTTCCCCTTTATACTCTAGATCAGCCTTCTTTGGGTTACAGACCATATTTGTTGACAATTTGCACACCACCTAGTTCAGTGAAAACTCTCCGACATCTAGGTACTAACCAAGTAAAAAACATATATATTCATTTCAAGTCTACCTTTTTGGTTTTTTAATTTTCACAACTGTCTAACTCCCCAAAAAAGAAAGCAGTGAACTTCCTGAGCATCCCATCTGCCTCACTTATATGGCCAATTTTGCAGCTGGTTTTGACCAGCAGCTATCAGGAGAAAGGGTTCCTGCTCTTTCTGAACCGAACCGAGCGATCCCCAGTTGCTCGCAGGCTGACCAGTGCCCCGGGGGTCACCAGTAGCACATCTCCTCCAGATAAGACCCTCTGTCAAATATGAATCAATTGTAAAATAATAACCTGTTGGTAGCCATGAAATAGGAAGTTTGCGCCAAGTCCTTGCTGGCTGAAAAGGAAAAGGAAAAAGCAGGGCATTAGGCCACATATCCTGACAAATATTACTAAGTTTTAGTAGAAGAATCAGGAGCCTCTCGCCACCACACACAGAGTAAAGACACCCAGCACGGTTCGACTAACTCTACACCACAGCTAGAAAGATTTTAGAAATTACTGTACATAGAGAGCTTTGCATGGTTCAACAGAGCCACAACATTGTGTCAGTCATTTGCAACTGCCTCTATTTTGACATTTGTTAGGGTTAAGGAGACTGACTGCAGGGAAGTTCTTGGGCAGTCCCAGCTGAACACTACAACGTATTTTCACAGCTCTTCTCTATCAAGCTGTGAGGTTACACGGAGAAGAAGCCGCAAGGACCCGATGTCTGACATCGCTTACCTCGCACTAGCTGCGTACACTTCACCACGTGGGTATGGGGGTGGTCAATAGTGATCTCAAAACCTGGAAGAACACAGACATACAGCCATCAGAAAACCAGCAGCACACACCCATGGATCTACGAACCTCACGTCTCCTGCTCCTGGGGGACACGGCCTTCTCCCCTTCCCTCCTACAGCCCCTACTCCCTGCTAAGAGGCAAGCAGGAATAGAGGAGCCCGTTTTCCTGTATCGAGAAGACTCAGGTTCTCCAGTCACAAAACCCAAAGGTCACTGCTGCTGCCAGACCTCCAAGTAGCTAAACGACTTCTGTGCTTGAAAGACCTCACTGAAAACAAAACAACTATTAAGGATTTTAAAAATAGCAGGACAAAGCCTCTTACAGCAGCTGGGAGGAAGGAGAAGACAATGGCATCTGCTCAAAGGAATTTCTGTCACCCAAAAAGCTAAGAGGAAGCAGACGTTTTCCCTCTGGAGGAGCCTACAGCACTAAAGACAACTGAACTTAATCCTTGTTTCAGTTTCCTACTCAGTTTGGGCATTATGTTTTAAAGCAAAAAAAAAAATAAAATCGGTCCATGTGTGCAACAGATTTGGTTCTTCCCATGCAGAACATTCTAGAAGAACTGGGGCATTAAAAAAGGCAACTGGAGAACCGAGTCGCTGCAGAATGGGGGTCACTATTTAGCCACTGGTTTGCCAGGCCAGCGCACGTGGCCGATCGACACACCTGCCCCTCCTGTCCCCTTGTGACTGAGGAACTAGTGGCATTTACTCTGAACCAAGTCAGAAATAACAATGGCCCACTGACTGTTTTGGAGTGAAATGCTATCTACAAACTGCCTCTGAAATGGAACATACGTTAGTAAAAACAAGTTTTAACAGTACATTTTAGAAAGGAACAAGATACCGGATCCAACGGCCACAGCCCTGAATGTAGACTCCAGCTTCTACTTTCAAAAAAAAACCAAACCAAAAACTGTTCTGTTTTGGGTTTGGTTTTTTTTTTTTTTCAGATCGTGTTCAGCTATCTGATCAAAATATTAACATTCAAGCTAGGTTTCGTTAGACATCTCTCAGTGAAAACTGCTTCCTGGCCACAGGACTAGAGCATTATCAAGTTCAACAGCACAACGGAGGACAGCGACCGGTGTCCAAGTGGTACAAAACCTGTTGTGGGGGCGGGAAAAAACAGACAAGCCACACTTCCACACTTTAATTTCTCTGAGCATTGAACCTGACATGAGTTACACCTGAAAAAATTGATGTTAAAAGGAAAACAGAAGGAGTGGGTGTGAAAAATAGAGTTCGTTGCCTGGACTCTTGCTCTCCCACTGGCCAGCTGTACATCTGCACTCCAGCTGTGGAGAAGACTGTGCGGTTAGGCTCTCCGCTCTGCGGAACACTCCTGGGTCTGGGATTCGTGTGGCAGCCCGTCCGCTTTGAAAAACTTACCCAGGGTCTGCAGTATTATGCTCTCTAGAATGACCAGGTCTTGGGCTTGTTGCAGGTAAGCCTGGGGTTGAGAGGACAGGCAAGTTACTCACGATGAAGCACTCCGTATAAAGCCTGCACATTTCTAACACCCTTTTCTCAGGGAGGCAAAAATAGCAAAGGGGAATCTTTATGCCGATCTGCACTGGGGGAACTGGCACAGATTCCCTGCCAGAAAAGAGAAAGCAGAGTGCTGGGGTGGACCCGCTCCCCTGCTAGTGCTTCTGCTAGGGGTCGGCTGCTTCAGGATCCACAGTGGCCCTCTCAGTCCTGGTCCCTCGCACTGCACAGCATGGCTATACAAGCAGTACAGGAGAGGAATTAGCTGCCTTTTTTTTTTTTTTTTTTTCTTTCTTTCTTTCTTTCTTCCCTTAAGCTTCCCTGGATAAAGCTGCCCCTTTTCAGCAGGGCTGGCTGCTCAGTTCCAGGTAAAACAGGCTGTCTCGAGAAATGGGGAATTAGCAACGTTTTTAATAAACCCACCATTAAACATGTGGGAACAGAACAGAACCAAACTGCGCACACCACCTTCTGCTCTGCTACAGACACTACTCAATCGCAGCAGCCAACATCCATGCCCTCCTCAGAAGCTTTTCACGCAGACATTGTTACATAGCACATCTGAGTCGCATTTGCAGCAGCACAGCAGAGGAGAACAGAAAAGAAGTTGCCACAGAGCAGGAAAGAAAAGCCTTCTGCTGTACAGAAGCCAAAAAGGTCTCAGTAGCTTACGAGCAGTCGAATTGGAAAGCTGGCACTGATCATCCTAGGACACAGCCGCTCGCTTAGAGAGCGGTTACTGCTGACCCCGATTTAACGAGACGCTGTAGCCACACGATTCAGGATTCAGCACGCTTCTGCCATTCCCATTCCTCGTGCCTCTGCTCCTCATATCAGAGCCCAGTTCTCCGATCTCGACACTTACCTCGCTCTTAGTTTCTAGAGGATTTTCCAGAGGATGCAGACAGGCATGTGCTACCTTGATTACGTGCTCCAGCTTACGGGGCTGCTCCTCCACCTTGGCTGCCAAAAACAGAGCTGCTGGTACCACCGCCTTCAGAGAAAAGAAAACAAATTTTTTTTTTTTTTTAAGTTACTGAGTTCAAGATCAAAGCAAATAAATTAGGCTAATACGTCTAACACAAATATTCCTTTAGGAAACAAAGCCTGCACAAGCCCAAACACCACCAGGAAGGAAAAGGGTCTCTGGTGACTACCAACAGCTACGAACAACCCTTCCCAATTCCAAACCCCCTCCCCAGGGCTGGTCCAACCGTGACGCCCCCAGAGCCGGCTGCCAGGCAGCAACAGGAGCAGAGCTGGGGGGCTCCCAGCACCCCCCACCCCACCAGACCCCAGCACACTTACGTTCCTGTGGAACTGGGTGAAGGACTGCACCATGTAGAAGCGGTGCATGTACACAATGGCCGTGTTGATGGTGAGTTGGGAGCTAATGAGGTTGTTAAGGAAACACACAGCCCCGACAACGACCCCTGAGCCACATCCTCAACTCCTCTACAGCCCACCGGCACCGGCTTGGGCTCTCCTCACTCCCAAAACGCCCTCGGCTTTCCCCGCTCCCAGGTCGGACATGGCCCTCCGCACAGGCCGCTACAACGTTCCCTGCTCCCCAGTTCCGGCTCTC